CATTTCCTATCTGTGACAAAACCAGCCACTTAAAGTGTAACCCCCTGAATGTAATATGATGTAAAGTGTATCCCTGTGTACTGCTTGGTATCTCCTAAAGCAGGAGATGGCTATCTGTAACCCAATCCCCTCCTGCCTGGGACTAAGGGAAGTGTATTGTGTGGAATGGAGACCCCCTGTGGGGGTCTGTGCTTGAAGGAAGCTGTAATCATTAAAGAGTGTGACTCAGGCTGGTGAGATGCCAGTGTTTAAACCTCCAAACTGTGTGTCGTCCTTTTACTGGAGAAGAGGAAGATTTTAACCCCTGCATCTGCGGTTCCAGCTTGCAGGGAGAAGAAAATAGGGGAAAAGTCCTGGTAAGGACAGAGAGCCTCCAGAGCTGAGTGTTGACTGAACCTGGGAACAGGACACTAGGAACAAGTCCTGCTACAGAGGTCCTTCTCAGAGCTATACCCTCCTGGAGGAGAGGTCCTTCCCACACGGTCCTGGGTCCAGAAGTTGGACCAGGGTGGAAAGGGGACAGCGAGACCGCAACCAAGCTAGGGCAATTCATGGAGTCTGCAGTGGCTATGGTGTCCAGTGCAGTGCTGATGGTCCTTGGTAAGCGCTAGGAGCATCGATTGGTGGACGGTCCATCACAGAACGATACACATTAATTGTTCGATATGATTTCCCTGAGTCAAAAGCGGAAGACAAATAAATTTAGTACATTTGCTAAATCAGAATGTATGGGATCCAGAGCCCGTTCCATGCACCAATTAAGCCACATTTTCCAGGCTGATCCGTAACTTGCATGGGTACCTGGTACCCATGCTTCTGAGAGAATGTTTCTAGTTGAATCTGAAAATTCTCTATTAGAGTCGTGTGACCCGATATAAGTGATGCTATTAGTGGTAATTGGTCTGACACCACAAGTGGATAAAGGTTACAGTCCAGATTGTGAAGAGATCTCGGATAATCTATCAGCATGCTGAGAAGTTGGGGGAACCACGGCTGTGATGGCCAATGAGGGGTCACTAACACTAGGGTTGATCTCTGAGACCATGCTTTTAACGTGCTATCAACCCAAATGGTGGCAACTTGTGATGGCAGTATTGGCACTGGGAGGCCCTACAGATGTGTAAGTGGTTGTGGTGGCAGTCCTGGCACTGGGAGCTCTATAGATGTATAATTGGTTGTGGTGGCAGTTCGGGCACTGAGAGACTTGAGCCCTATAGATGTGTAAGTGGTTGTGGTGGCAGTCCTGGCACTGGGAGGCGGGAGCCCTATAGATGTGTAAGTGGTTTAGGTGGCAGTCCGGGCACTGGTGCAGAGGATAAACCAAAAGACAATAATTTGAATTGCCATTTCTTCCCTTCCCATATGAATTGTAAGTAACTCTGACAAGAGTGGTGAATGGGTACTGTGAGGTACGTTCTTTCAAGTCTATTTTTATCAACCAGTCGAGTATTAACAAATCTTTCAGATGATAAATGCCTTCCATCTTGAAATGATGGTATCTGACAAAATTGTTTATGTATTTTAAATTTATGACTGGTCTGTGACCAGCATCTTTCTTTTTTACCAGGAATAAATTGCTTATGAAACCCAGGCTGCTCATGGGAACTTGGATAATGGAATTTTTTTAAAAACAAATTTAATATTTCTTGATGTATCACAGTCTGGTTTTGACTTGAAAATGTATTGGGAAAGGCCTGTCATAGAATGTGATTTGATATGAAAATTATTTTGTATCAAAGAACTGTACTTAAGTTCCAGGCATTGTTTGTAATCTGACTACAGACATGGAAATAGTGAGAAAGTCTGCCTTTTTTGGGGGAAGAAAGAAGAATTGTCGTACTCACCAGACGGTGATCTGAAGCGAGACATTCCTCAATGACCTCTGGATCTCCATGGTCTGCCACGAAGTCTGGTCTGTTGTGTGTTAAATGAGGATCTGTTTGCATGGAATAAACTTCTTGGAACCTGTCTGTTTTGAGAGAAGTGGCTGGAAGATTGGTTCTGTCCTCTTCCAGCCCTTCCGAAAACCTTAGGGTCCTAAAACCTTAGGGTTTAAAACTCTCTTCAGTGAAGTTTGAGCTTTGTCTAAGGAACTAAATAGGTTTACATATTTATTAATGTCTTTAATAAATGAGTCTCCAAACAGGAGTCCTTCTGCCACTGGTCATGGTTGTGTAGTGGCTAGGTAACCTAATTGTGGGTCAATCTTTATGAGTATTGACCTTCATTTTTCTGTGGTTACAGCTGTATTAGCATTTCCTAGAAAACATACAATTCCTTGTGTCCATCCTCTAAAAATGTAAATACTGGGGGAACTCCCTGAAGCAGAAAGACTTCACATATTTTTGCCACAGGACCAGAAATATCCATTAGCTTGTCCTGACATGAATTTAGTGACCTATCAAGTCCTTTGTTAAGATTCTTCCCTGATTTTGTTAGAAAATGTATTAAAGTAGAATCCAAGTCAGGGGTCTGTGTGACTTTTTTAGCTAAAGTCGGTCTAGAGCATTCAGCCCGCAGCTTATACCTAGCTGCCTGGTCAAGGGGTTTCCTTAGCCAATATTCAAGGTATTTGGCTACATTAGCCATCAGAACCCATTTGACTGAACGGGGATATTTTAAATTATCTGGATTAAATAAAGGTTTTCCTGCAGTATCTGTAATAACGTTTTCATCATCAGATTTTGATACATGTTCAGGTACCTCAGAGTATGCAGAATAATCAGAATCAGCATCAGATTTTTCATCTTCAGAAGATGAGGATGAATTATTAGAGGAGGTTTTATGAGAGACAGGTTTGCTCCTGTGAATCGCCTCCTGGGCTCATTTATCTTCCTCACAAGCAGAGGGTCTTTTGAATAAGTTACTCTCATCATATTTGCATGATATACGCCTTTCATTATGGTCTTGGTCCTTCCCTTTTTAGATGCTTTTGAGCAAGAAGGGGAATCATAAGGACCGTCAAAACAATGCTTACGCTTCTGGGTGGCTTTCCTAGACCCCCTGAAATCTTGCGCCAAATTCCTTTTAGACTCTACAAATGAGGGAATATTAATTGTGGTAGGTTGGCTGATAGCATGAGCAACAGATTTTGCAATTGCCTCTTGCAAAGAGGACATAGCAGAAAATATTGCAGATAATACTGATCTGTTGACAGATAAATCAACGATATTCTGTAACGAGTCCTCAGTGAGGATTTTAAATTCAGCATTAGCACCAGTGATTGGAGACTGTGGAATAGTTTTCTTAGACTCTTTAGAATTCATAATAATAATAATCAAATTCTAGTAGTCTGCAATAAAATAATTCTGATAGTCTGCAATAAAGTAAATATTGCTTGATATATTGCAATAAAATTACAATAGTATAAGTATTAATTGATAAACTAACCTGAACTGGATACAAATTGTGTCAATGTAATCTTTATCAGAGAAGAAACAATGTCAGCTGAAGAAATCTGCTGAGCTAAAGTATGCGGTAATGGGCGGGTAAAAACGGGCGGGAAAGAGCTAGCTGACAATCAACTAGCTGTGAAAAAAAGACTGGGAAATTATGTCAGATTGAATCTGAGGTAACTTGAATGTACTGTATGAAACAACTGAACGCTTAAACTTATTTGTGCCGCGAATTAGAGGAAAAACGCTGAATTGAAACAAACTGAATAGCTTTGAATCGCAAAAGGGGTGTTCGCGAAAAGTAATAGAAGCACGAATAGAATTCAGTTAGAAACACACTAAATATACACAAAATTAACAAACTGTTTGCAAACAAAAATAATAAGAGTAAAATTGTAATATCGTTTGTGAGTTTTGCCGCAAATGACCTTGCAAATTAACTTTGGATGGTAGCAATAACTGAAAATATATATACTTCAAAAAATTATCAAATATAATTAGAATCATATCCGAAAATAAATATTTGTGTTTACAATAATGGTATAAAAAAACAATACAAATTACAATCTCAATATGCCAAAAGATTAAATAGAATACAGAATAACTGTAACATATGTGTGAAGGAATAGCCCCTAACTTGTTTCGGCTGTTTTTGTGGATTTATATTAATTTTATTTGGTTCGTTTCCATTTTGGTTCCCAAATGAGGACCACCCCAGAACCTCATTAGAACTTGGAATGTTAAGTATCCTGTATAGAGTTGAGCGGACACCTGTATGTTCAGGTTTGTCGGGTTTGGCCAAACTTCGGCAAAAAGTTTGAGTTCGGCCTCGAATTTTATCCGAAATTGACCACGAACCCCATTGAAGTCAATGGGGACCAGAACCTTTGGGCACTAAAATGGCTATAAAAAAGTCCTGGAAAGGCCTAGAGGGCTGTAGAAGGAAGACAAATGGGGGTAAGAGTAGGACAAGTGCCCTGCAAATAATTGGGGTAGCCCCCAAAATATTGGGACATATTAAAATAAAGAAAAAAAAGAATAAGTGCACTTGAGTATAACAATGGCTGGGTGAGGCCGGTATAAATGTCCATTTTGCACAAGGTACAGACAAGTCTGGTGGGAACCATGCCTAGTTCATTTTAATAAATATGAACTTGTCCACGTTGGCTGTGGACAGGTGGCTGCGCTTGTCTGTGATAACGCCCCCTGCCGAGGCCAGCACCTCCAAGGCTTAAAGGGCAAGCTCAGGCCATGTGCCCAGTTCGGAGACCCAGAAGTTGAATGGGGCAGACCTATCAGTCAGTACGTGTAGACATGTGCACACGTACTGTTCCACCATGTTGCTGAAATGCTGCCTCCTACTAAGACGTTCCATATCAGCTGGTGGTGATGGTTGCTGTGACGTGCTGACAAAGCTTTTCCACATTTCGGCCATGCTAACCCTGCCTTCTAAGGTGCTGGCGGTGCCCCAGCTGCGTTGGTGACCTCTTTCTCCCCCTCTGCCTTCGCCTTGTGCTTCCACTGAGCCCCTGGTGTCAGTTGGGAATGCCCTCAGCAGTGCATCTACCAGCGTTCGCTTGTAGTCGCGCATCTTCCAATCACACTCCAGTGAGGGAATTAAGGACGGCACATTGTCCTTGTAACGGGGATCCAGCAGGCTGGCCACCCAGTAATCAGCACAAGTTAGAATGTGGACAACTCATCAGTTGTTGCACAGGCACTTTGGTGACTCTAGATAACCTCGGGCTGATCACACGTCCCCGTGATGGCGACGACGCATTCGGATGTCTGCCCTATCAACTTTCAATGGTACTTTCTGCGCCTACCATGGTGACCACAGGTAATGGGGAATCAAGGTTCGATTCCGGAGAGGAAGCCTGAGAAACGGCTACCACATCCAATGAAGGCAGCAGGCGTGCAAATTACCCACTCCCGACGCGGGAGGTAATGACGATAAATAACAATACAGGACTCTTTCAAGGCCCTGTAATTGGAATGAGTACACTTTAAATCCTTTAACGAGTATCTATTGGAGGGCAAGTCTGGTGCAGAGCGACTGACCCGTGCGTGCTGCAGCTGAAACTCCACTATAACCTGCTGCTGCTCGCACAGTCTCTCCAGGATGTGCAAGGTGGAGTTCCACCTTGTGGGCACGTCGCATATGAGGTGGTGAGTGGGAAGGCCGAAGTTACGCTGAAGCGCAGGCAGGCGAGCAGCAGCAGGGTGAGAACTCCGAAAGCGCGTACAGATGGCCCACTTTTCTGCAGCAGCTCTGATATATCTGGGTAGTTTTTCAGGAATTTCTGCACCACCAAATTCAGCACATGCGCCAGGCAAGGGATGTGCGTCAAACCGGCTAGGCCCAGAGCTGCTACGAGATTTCGCCCATTATCGCACACCATCAGGCCGGGCTTGAGGCTCAGTGGCACAGTGGCAACAACCACTCATCAGTCTGTTGTTCCATGCCCGTCCACAGCTCCTGCGTGGTGTGGGGTTTTATCCCCAAACATATGAGTTTTAAAACAGCCTGCTGTCGTTTCCCCCTGGCTGTGCTGAAGTTGGTGGTGAAGGTGTTATGCTGAACGGATGAGGAGATGGTAGAGGAGGAGGAAGCGGAGTAGGAGGAGGAGGCAAGAGGAGGCAAAGAGAAATGCCCTGCAATCCTCGGTGGCAGAAGGACATGCGCCAAACTGCTATCCGCCTCAGGCCCAAACTAACAGATGGTTTATGTCAGGCGACAATGTAACCGCCAATAGTCAACAATTAAGTGCCGGTGTCCTAAAGAGAAAACATTTCTAGAGGTCACACAACAGTGTAACAGGCGTAATTAATACAGTTACTTCACTGTCTCAAAAAAGTGTGATTTTTAAACCAACAATGTAAGAGTAGTATTTAACGGTTTTATTGGACTGCAATTAATGCACCGCAGGCCGCAAATGTACTATTTAGCACCAAGAAAATTAGAATTTTTCAAAGTGCGATGTAACCACCGTATTTGCCGGTTTTATTTGAGTCTCAGATATGAAGTGCACGCCCCAAATTTACTTTTTAGCACAAAAAAGATTTGAATTAGTCAAACTGATATGTCACAGCTGTATTGGACGGTTCTATTTGACTCTCAGATATGAAGTGCACGCCCCAAATTTACTTTTTAGCACCAAAATAAATGTGAATTATTTAAACTGCTATGTCACAGCAGTATTTGACGGTTTTATTTTACTCTCAGATATGAAGTGCATGCCCCAAATTTACTTTTCAGCACCCAAAAAAATGTGAATTAGTCAAACTGCTATGTCACAGCAGTATTTGACGGTTTTATTTCACTCTCAGATATGAAGTGCACGCCCCAAATTTACTTTTTAGCACCAAAGAAATGTGAATTTTTCAAAGTGTGATGTAACCACAGTATATGACGGTTCTATTTGACTGTCAGATATGAAGTGCACGCCCCAAATTAACTTTTTAGCACCAACAAATTCTGAATTAGTCAAACTGCTATGTCACAGCAGTATTTGACGGTCCTATTTGACTCTCAGATATGAAGTGCACGGCCCAAATTTACTTTTTAGCACACAAAAAAAAATGTGAATTTTTCAAAGTGCGATGTAACCACAGTATTTGACAGTTCTATTTGACACTCAGATATGAAGTGCACCGCAGGCAGCAAATGTACTATTTAGCACCCAAAAAAATCGCGTTTTTCAAAGTGCGATGTAACCACAGAATTTGACAGTTCTATTTGACTCTCAAATTTACTTTTTATCACCAACAAATGTGAGTTAGTCAAACTGCTATGTAACAGCAGTATTTGACGGTTCTATTTGACTCTCAGATATGAAGTACACGCCCCAAATTTACTTTTTAGCACAAAAAAAATTTGAATTAGTCAAACTGATATGTCACAGCTGTATTGGACGGTTCTATTTGACTCTCATATATGAAGTGCATGCCCCAAATTTACTTTTTAGCACCAAAAAAATGTAAATTAGTCAAACTGCTATGTCACAGCAGTATTTGATGGTTTTATTTGACTCTCAGATATGAAGTATTTGAGGGTTCTATCTGACTCTCAGATATGAAGTGCACGCCTCAAATTTACTTTTTATCACCAAAGAAATGTGAATTTTTCAAAGTGCGATGTAACCACAGTATTTGACAGTTCTATTTGACTCTCAGATATGACGTGCACCGCAGGCAGAAAATGTACTATTTAGCAACAAAAAAAAAATAGAATTGGTCAAACTGCGATGTAACCACAGTATTTGACGGTTCTAATTGACTCTTGGATATGAAGTGCATGCCCCAAATTTACTTTTTAGCACCAAAGAAATGTGAATTTTTAAAAGTGCGATGTAACCAAAGTGTTTGACGGTTCTACTTGACTCTCAGATATGAAGTGCACGTCCCAAATTAACTTTTTAGCACCCCAAAAAAATTGAACTTCTCACAGCAGTATTTAAAAATGCCTAGATGTTGCCAACTGAGCTACCAGAACAGTATTAAAGTAATGTGCCTGGCACACATGCAGTTGCAAGTGCCCACCTAACAAACAAACTGATTGCTTATTTCTCTGTGGCACTGGGCTCAGGGCAGGGTACAAAAATGTAGTATAGCACCCACAAAAGTAATCGCTGTAGTTTGCAGATTCAACACCAGAATTCTTTCCTAATTTGTCCCTCACAGCTGCAGCATCCTCTCCATACACTAGTAAGAGCTCATGTGACTCCAGCTTATAAAGAGGTTGGGTCACATGCTGCACTAGCCAATCACAGCCATGCCATTAGTAGGCAGGGCTGTGATGGCTTCTAAGGGCACACGAGTCAAACGCGTGTTGATTGGCTGCCCTGCAGCTTTTCCAAACGCACCATTAAATTGCCGAACACCGAACTCGAACCAGAACTTTTACTGAAATGCCCGTGTTCGGGTTCAGGGTCCAAAAATCGTAATGTTCGGTATGAACCCGAACTTTATAGTTCGGGTTCGCTCATCCCTAATCCTGTATGAAAACTGCAAAGGTAACAATTAATAGAAAGCTCCACTGGGTGGCCACCATTTTGTGAAACCGAACGCACACGGTCGAGACAATGGGTGGCGGCCATGGAATGCAGGCAGCAGGACTTTGTTGTTGAGTACCTGGAACTAATTTTGGCTAGGCACTCCCTCGAACACCGGTGAAGATGGACCAGCTGCCCATTCAAGTTCCCAACCATCTACAAGAACGGTGTTCAGGGGTTATAAACTACCGAACAGGGGGAGCATTCTATAAGTAAAAGATTTTGTGAAATTTATGTGGTATTTTACAAAATTCCTTGAACAGAGACCAACCATTGCCACAAATTCCCTGGAACCATCTTGGGCTTCGACCTCATGGCAGGCCAGTCAAAACGTCCTTGCGATGGAGATTAAAAACTAATTAACCGATCTGAGTGATTTTTAGATATGCTGGTCACTAACATCAGGGCTATCTGATGTGACTTTTGCAGGGTTTCCATGTATTTTGGGGGTACTTTTGGGGTGTTACAAAATTGTTATACTTTTTTGTATCTGGAGATAATTGATTTTGTACAATTCCTGACTCAATTATCTCTCAGGCACAGGCTGGGAGTTTACTGACTGTAATAATTGTATAACTGTACTCTCATTAAATAGTTATACTCTCAGCATTAAGGCTTGGCTCATGTGTGAGGCGATATGTGATACTGGTGATATTTTGCACAAGATTATTGGTGTTGCTTTTACTTGGGAAAAGGGAATCCGTAGCGGAGATGCTTTGGCGGTCCGCCATATTATGTATATATGTTACTTATCTCCACTGGAGCAGCAAAGAAAGAGGAAGAGGATTGGGGGTCATTCCCTATATATAGACTATGCCAGATGCAGATTGGCTGTTGGGTATTCCGTTGCAGTTACTTGACAGTTTTTTCATATATTGTTTCACTAAACTATATTGAAATATTATTTGCTGCTGGAGCATAGTAAAGTAAGTTAATGCATAATTTAAGCCTCCTGTCTTGTTATAAAATTAAGGATTGCTTGTGTCAAAAAGAAATTTAAAAAAATCTCAAATAACAAAATATTAGCAACTGTGAACACTGCACAGACAATTCCAGGATAATACGCACAAAACTGGATCATACTTATTAAATATTCAGACTAGGGATTTTTTTCAGTGATTTAGTTGACAACAATTATATTTTGACAAAGAAAACATCACATCATCCTTACAATATAATATTAGAAAATACAGCTCAAACTTTATACCTATACCAAGGCACAACATCAAATTAGACACTATAAAACCAGCTGACCAGGGCAGATATATTTGTACTCCAAACTACATATACACACACAAACATGTATGTATTAATGCACAGTATAAATCTGTAGACAAATACGTATAGAGAAAGCTACCTAGTAAGATACCTTTCTTACATATATTAATTTAGGCAGAACATTATGTGAATTTTTACAACTGGGTAAAAGCTATTGTGTTTCTTTGTTATAATCTGAATTTTATAACATGACAGGAGGCTTAAGTCTCTCTTTACTAGAACTCCACAGCAGCACAGAAAAAACAACCAATCAGAAAAAAGTTAGGTACTATAAAACTCCCCTCTCCATACATCATTTCTTCTTTCTTTGCTGCTCCGCAGTCAGTACAGGTCAGAGTACCACTGCCTCCTGCTTATAGTGGGTGGCTTTGGGATTGATTTGTTTATATTCATGATTTTATGTTTTTCTGTTTGGTAACGTTAATATTTTCCTGTAGTTTTATGCCTCATTGTTTGTTTATATGTTAGTACAGTGGATTCAGGGGGGTCTTAGTGGGCCTTTTTCTGTCCTTACTATATCTTTGCTTTTTCCCCCTCTATCTCCCAGATGCTAATTCTCTGTTGTTTCTATTACCTCTGCCTTTCTTGGCGGGCTGTGTGTGTGCCACCTGGGGGTTTACTGGAGGCTGACTGTCTCATGCCACCTCCGAGCTCCGGACCGCGGAGTCACCTCCGGCGGCCCCGTGCCTTTACTACCAAGCCCTGGGGTACTCGTGATCGAGCACGAGTACCAGGTGCCCGGCTTTCTTTCCACACGTGGC